GGAAGAAAAATCAGTGTATGAAGGAGAAAGGGGGTAGAGTTTAGGGGGGAAAGGCCAGGAATCAGGCTGAGTTTTGGGGGGTCTGCAGTTATCTACAATGTGATGCCAGTGCCCTGTGCTAATCTCTACTCCAGTGGATGGTATGATCTTGCCTATATTTGGAGAAATCCAGAAAGCCATTCATTCATTCATTCATCCATTCATTCATTCATCCATCTATCCATCCATCCATCCATCCATCCATCCATCCATCCATCCACCTATTCATTCATTCATTCATTAAGTCATTCATTCATCTACTCATTCATTGAGTCATTCATTCATTAATCTACTCATTCATTGATTCATCTATTCATTCATTCATCTATTCATTCATTCATCTATTCATTTGTGGAGATTATCTATTGGGAGCTTTTATGATCTGCCTAGCAGTCCAATGAAGACACCATGGTGAACAAAATAGTTCTTGATCTCAGAAGAGACAAACTCCCTTTGATTCCTAGAATAAATGTGGTCTTTCTACTTCTGTTAAGAGTGACGGAAAGAAAAAGCAGGAAGTTGTGAGCGCTATGGGAAGTGCGGTGAGTGAGGGCCGAAGGAAAGTTTCCCTGTGAGGCAGCTCTGGAAACTTCTCTGGGGTGAGGAGGAGTTGGTCAGATGAAGAGCAGGGAGAGGGTCTGCCAGCAGAGGAAGAGAAATGTGCGCAGGCCAAGAGAGGGTGTGAGGGGGCTGTGAGCACCGGGGAGTTGGGGAACCAAAAAGGAACCAGGCCTGGAGACAGAAGAGAAGGGCCCTGAGTGTGGATTTGGGCATGGAGTGGAAAGGGGATGGCACAGAGAGGTATGGGACAGAGCTGCTAATGAAAGCCAAAGGCTGTGCGCATGGGCAGTGCCTCCCTTCTGCAGCTCAGGGGGTGGGGGGACAGGGAAGAGCTGAATCCACAGGAGTGAACCTTGAGAAAACTTGGGAGACAACTGTTGCAGAGGCAGGAGCACCACCCTGAGTGGCCTGGAGAAAGCATGACACTGTGGCCTTT